CCCCCCCCCCCCCCCCGTCAACAATCGTCAAACATTTCCAACCCCCTCCTCCCTATTTTTTTGACATATAATTAATGGACGAGCCCTTAGTAGAAAAACGTTTTGATGTGTTCAGTAAGTTTTAACATTGTGGTATAATATTGTGCCCATATCACATTGTTATGATTGTAATCAAGTATCTCCTATATATTTAGCTTCTGACTGCCCCCCCCCCCCAACTCTACATGATTTATAATAATAGTACTGAGTGCAAAGAAAGGCTGTCACGCTTCATGGTGACGTGACCTCTGAACTACGTTAAATAGGTTTGTTTTCCTTTCTTTAATGGGAGGCGACTATTATTTGGTGTTGTTATTGTTCGTGTTCCTCTGTCACACAGCGAGCTTTGCCTGACATCTGAACTTCGGTGAATAGATTGATTTTTTCTTTAGAAAGGAATTATTTTTTTAAAAATATGTAATAAGTCACTTTTTTTCCACATCTTTGTTCTGAGGTTGCACTCCACGCAGAACTAAGTCATTGGCCATCCTTTCACTTAGGGCATGTGTGGCCTGTGAGTCTTCTGTAGCCTGGTACAGGAAGGTATTGCTATTATCATTACACTGCAACTGGTGTTTCACTATCTTATTTGTAGACGGGTTTTTGTACAATATCATCTCTATTCCAGGATAAGGCAACTGCCTGTTCCTATCAGTGGGTTATTTCTTGACACAAATGGTTGACGAAGGCAGTACACTCTCACTACGGCATAGGGCAGTATAGTTCATTGCATATTGTAGAAAATGAGAACTTAACACTTTTTTTGTAGAACACTTGGATCCGGACCCGGTGTAAGAAAACTGCACCTGTTTAAGCCTTAGTATAAAATAATCAAGGCCTTGGCCTCATTAATGATGGTGTCATCAATTGTGCAAATACAGTGAACCTATAGTGTCACCTTTTCCCCTCCCCCACTTTCTCATGTGCCAGACCACACACAGTGACCTATTGTTATAGCCTATCGTAATGTTTTTTAGTGTAAGATTAAGAACAGAAGCGAATCTAAAGGTGTGAAGATGGGGTGACCGCCATTTTGAAGGGGGCAGAAAAATCAGTGCTGCAATTTTTAATTTAATCTACCTCTGGTATTTAAAAAAAATTGTTTATAAAGCTAACTGTATAATCATTTTAATTCATCATAATCTCATCTTCAATGATCTTCCTTTTCTTATAATGGAATTTGAATGTCAAATTGAGTCAAGTAAAAAGTTTCTCAAGAAAACTTAACTCTCATGCATTCTTTGTTTACTTCATTCTATTGTTTTTTTTAGTTTTTATATAATTTTTTTTCTTTTATTTTTTAAATAAAACATCAAAATCACCCATTTATTTGACCACTGAAAGTTTTGTCAGCTCTGCTTGTAAACTGTTAAAACTTTCTAATAAAATGAATGCACCATTTATTCTCTGATCAACTGTGGACATATAGGCACCCCTAGTGGTGTTATTGTATCTGGACAAATGTGGACATGTAAAATACAATAACACCAGTATGGGTGCCTATAACATCATCATTTTATTTTTTTTAATTTTTTTTTTTTTTGGTGATTATTTTTAAACATTTTATTTTTCATTGTTTTACAATCTACTGGGCTTACACAAGGGCCCCTAAAATTTTGTTATGTTTCGGAATATGTTTTTAAAAAAATATATTTTTTCTTTCAAAATGCTTGTTTGAACTCATTCTCAAATGACAATTAAAAAAACAACTAAGATTTTACAAAAGATGATTACATAAAAGTATTGTGGTTTTTATTTCTCCCTTCATTGCTTTTACTCCAATAATAGTTCAAGGGCGATCAATGCTAAAAAATTAAGTTAAAAATTTACCTGCGCTACATAATACACAGATTTACCTGTAATACACAGTACACAGGATTTACGTGTGATGCATAATATACATGATTTCCACAGTTGCCCACATACAATGACATCACTAGGGATGCTTGCATGTCCGCAGTTGCCCACATACAATAGCATCACTAGGGATGCCTAAATTTCAGCAGTTGCCCACATACAATAACATCACTAAGGGTGCCTACATGTCCTCAGTTTCCCACATACAATAACACAATTAGGGGTGCCAACATATCCGCAGTTGCCCACATACAATGACATCACTAAGGTTGCCTACATGTCCACAGTTACCTAGATACAATAACACCACTAGAGGTGCCTATATGTCCACAGTTGCCCAGATACAAGAGATAACAGAGTTTTGAAGGAAAAAACATGTACTGTCCACTAGACAAATCTACTTGTATGATAACATTGAATTTGTCACTTAGAACAATTTGGCTCTCAATAGACAATACATACTTGTGTCAGTATTTTCTCTATTGAATTTCTTTTACATTTTTTTTCTTCCATTGTTCACTTTGATTGAATTCAATATACATTGGGTTGTTCAATCATACTTTGGAATACCTCAATCATACATTAGATTTGATCAAACAAACATTGGGTTTGTTGATTCATACTTTGTTTTTTTTTTAATCTAACAATGGATTAGTTCAATCATACATTGGCCTAGTTTGATCATATTTTGCGTTTGTTCAATCATACATCATGTTTTTTCAATCATACTTTGGGCTTGTTCAATAATACTTTGGGTTTGTTCATTCATATATTGGGTGTGTTCAGTGATACATTGGGTTTGTTCACATTGATTCTGTGGGGGTGACAACTTGCTCTAGTGGCCCCATTTTCTGGTGGCTGCCTGCTGCCCTGTGGAGCTTTGCTCATTTGGTTTTGTTTGTAAGTACAATCAATTTCATTGACTGTGTCAACCCCCTTTCAGGCAGGCCCATGGTGTTACTTGTCACTTATTGATAGAAATTAATAAGAATGCCTTTATCCTAGTTAGTCACTTATTGACACAAGAATGCCTTTATCCCAGTTTTTAGAAGTGTTCAAAGATACT